ATTGTAGATAGAGTGTCAATGGTCCATTTGAGAGATAGGTGGCGGTAATGCACTTATAAGTCTGCGATCCGCCATAAAGCAAGAAGAAGAAGAAGAAGACGTCTGCTGAGAACGCGCTCAGGAGAGTTCTAACAGTTCGGACATTGCCTGAATCAGAGGTAAAAAACGATATAAATACTGTTCAGTTTCTTGCACAGACCGATCGTTTTGTGTCTTTACACATCAATGTATCGTCACGAGCCGTAGGGTTTAATTTGGTTTTGTTTGTGTATGTTTTTTTTTAGTTTTATTGTATGTTTTAGCCGTGATTTCCATCCACTTACATTATAGGACAGACAGACTGCAACGGTTTGAGTTAAAAATCATCAAATGTGTTCTAATGAAGAAACAAAGTCCCCTACATCTTGGATGCCCTGGGGGTAAGCAGATAAACATCAAATTTTCATTTTTGGGTGAACTATCCCTTTAAGATTAAATAAATAAAAAAATCCTATTAATTTACATTGTTAGAATGCTTACTATTCATAATCAAACTGACAGCAATGCCAATCATAATATTGGCATGCTTAATTGTGATTGTCTTCTATTTCATTATATAAACAAAATCTGTGATTTTAATTAATTATATTTTAAATAAAGCACAAAAGTGACAGTGAAGAGATTTATAATGTTACAAAAGATTTCTATTTCAAATAAATGCTGTTCTTTTGAACTTTCTATTCATCTGTGAATCCTGAAAAAAATAAAATATATCACGGTTTCCACAAAAATATTGGGCAGCACAACTGTTTTCAACATTGATAATAATCAGAAATGTTTCTTGAGCAGCAAATCAGCATATTAGAATGATTTCTGAAGATCATGTGACACTGAAGACTGGAGTAATGATGCTGCAAATACAGCTTTGACTCGCATGAATAAACTGTATTTTAACAGATATTCACATAGAAAATAGTTTTTTTTATTGTAATAATATTTCACAATTTTACTGTATTTTTGACCAAAAGTGGTGAGCAGAAAAGACTTCCTTCCAAAACATTTAAAAAAATACCTACTCCAAAACATTTGAATTGTAGTGTACGTCAAGATAAGCGATAAATAACCAGTTTTGCACTAAATAGACGATCCAAGTTTGTCTCCACTGTTAAAATGACATACTACCACAACAAAATTAACAATTGTTCTGACTCTCGCACACTTTTTAAAACCTTCTTTTCTCTTCTCTTCTCTGTCCTCAGTTACTCGGTTACTTTCGGGTGGTTCAAGTTTTACCTGTGAGTACGTCACACTTGATGAAATTTTTGCAGATGAAGTCAAGAAAGACAAATTTAATTTAATGTGTAAGGTGTGATTCTGATTATTTATACGTATGTACTTGTCATATATATTAGGAAATTGATAGTTTCAGCAATAATGCATTAAATTGCTCAGAAATCACAGTGAAGACATTTAGCCTATAATGTCACGTAAGATTTATATTACAAATAAATGGAGTTCTTCAAACTGTTCTTCTGATCTTCTTATAATATATAACTGTTATTTTTTATTTGATGAAGTTTCTGTAATACAGCTCCTGTACTGGTTAAACATCAAATGTGATGAAGAGAAACATGCAAGAAATGTTTCAGTTTAATGTCATAATTGCATTTTTACTAGTAAGAATTTGGTTAGAGGGAATTATTATTATTAAAAACACTATTATGGTGGGTTCAGGCCCATTCACACCAAGAATAAAAACGTCTCATGTTACTTATGTAACCATGGTTCCCTGAGTAGGGAATGAGACACTGCGTCCTCTAGGGGTCGCTATGGGGAATGTTTTAATAATTAATTAACACTGTCAGGTAAAGCGTCATTCTAGAGCATTGTTTCACACTGGAAAGTCCAAATGAATGTTGTAAACAAACCTGAAACCACTAGCGAGCCTGTAAAATAATCAGAATTTGTTGTGAGCAGCATGTGATATTTTCCCTCACAGGTTCCGAGTCTGAAGACAGAGAGATCTTGTCTCAGGTGGGGCTGAACGGCGTCCCGTGTGACTCAGTCGTGGCAGATCTCATCGCGGCGAAATACACGTGTCAGAGACCTGCCGGAAACGGAGCAGTTCGTGAGTTTGCCGAGTACATACTGATGCTGAAGAAAAAGAGCTGGTTGCAGGTGCTCCAGGAGCACATTGACAGGGCCAATTTCTAGATTCCAGTTCCTATTTCATATTTCTTTTAAACGGTCAGTTTGGGTTGCTGTGATCACATGACATTGAATCTAACTTAAGTTAATAAATCACCTGTGTGTGTCTGTGAGCAAAAGCTTCATTTATGTTGTCTCTTTACTTCAGGGGGTTTTAAACTTCTCCTGGAGTGTCCCCAGTCCTGCACATTTTGTATGTCTCCTTTATTGGACACACCCAAGTCAGGTCTTGCAGTCTGTACTAATGAGATGATGAGTTGAATCAGGTGTGTTAGATGAGGGAGAGGACTGGCGGGACTCCAGGAGAGGTTTGAGAACCCCTGCTTTACTTGATCTTTATATATTTACACGTTCTTTCAAATGCAATTTTCATTTACTTATCACCGATCATTATGTATTAATGTTTAATCTTATGCTGTCTCCTCACAATTTAGTAAGTGATGAAAGGATGTTAGTAACTGAAGTAAGGAATCATCCTCGTTTTAGTTGAATCAAGGATAGTGTTGTCCAGCAGAAGTTTTCCATTACCTTCACTTTGGTATAACAACACTTGATGAAATTTTGCAGATGAAGTCAAGAAAGACTAATTTAATTTAATGTGTAAGGTGTGATTCTGATTATTTATATGCATGTACTTGTCATATACTGTATATTAGGAAATTGATAATTTCAGCAATAATGCATTAAATTGCTCAGAAATCACAGTGAAGACATTTAGCCTATAATGCTACATAAGATTTATATTACAAATAAATGGTGTTCTTCAAACTGTTCTTCTGATCTTCTTATAATGTATAACTGTTATTTTTTTATTTGGTGAAGTTTCTGTAATACAGCTCCTGTATTGGTTAAACATCAAGTGTGATGAAGAGAAACATGCAAGAAATGTTTCAGTTTAATGTCCCGTAATTGCATTTTTACTAGTAAGAATTTGGTTAGAGGGAATTATTATTATTAAAAACACTATTATGGTGGGTTCAGGCCCATTCACACCAAGAATAAAAACTATAATTATGACTATAATCATAATATTATGTTTATTCTACAAGCATACGTTAGTTATTTTCTGTAAATGTAATTGCAGCTTTAATCCTTCTGTTGGTTTCCATGCAATTTGTCAGAATTCAACACTATGGAGAAAAAAAGCTAAAGATTCATTTAAAATCAGAAAACCTCTATAGCTTTTCAGAGACTAAAAATATATAATATGGGAAATTATTAACTGCTTTATTTATTGGTGTTAGGGGCAATTTGACCCACATATTTTTATGTTCAAAATTAGCTGATTATTTGCACACAGATACAAATAGATGAATATTCAAAACCGAGTCATCTTGAGTCTTTAATTTTGAGTAAACTTTTGAGTCTTTAAGTTCTCATGTATGTACAGCCTTTCCAAAATACATCAAAACTTTGTGTCAACTTTGCATTCACATTCATGACCCTAAATGACTAAAAGGGAGAAATAATACAGGTATACATAATTTTGAAAAATCCAATTGTTTTT